GGTGCCGGCCCGGGTAGCGCAGAGGGCTGGCCGCAGCGCCGGGGCCGGGTCAGTTGCCATGGGCTCGCCTCGGTCTCCATGAGGAAGGGGCCACGCAGGAGACGGGCCAGGTCAGGTCCCACCGGAAAAGGCGGGACTGTTGGGTTCAAAAGTCACCTAGAGACACAGGGCTCTCTAAAATGTTATTTTACGTGAGATATTAACCTAAAAACATATTTTCATAAAATATTCAAAAGCGATTGCTGCTAGGTACAGTGCTTCTGAGTGACAAAAATATTCCAAAATTAGTGGTGACAACTTCACACTATCAACGTACTGAAAACTACTGAATGATACATTTCAAAGGATGAATTTTGGCCCATGAATGATCTCGATAAAGCTGCTATAATAAATTCCCAAGTGCCTCCCCTACTTACATGTAAACGATTAGTGCGGAAGAGAAGGCTCGCTCCGCAATCACCAGTCAGATAAGCAATGTTAACGTTGCATGTGTGGAAATAAGACGCAAAATCGTGCAATTCCTGTTGGCCTCCAACATGCATGGCGCGCCCCCCACAAGCTGCCCCAACGCAGGAGCTGCTGGTCGGACAGCAACGGCCGCGTGGCTCTCACGGAGAACACGGCCTGGCAGCAGACACCGCCCCCCCTATCAAGGAACTAGCGCGGTCCGCGTCCACGCTGCCAGAGAGGACGGCCGCGCCCAGCCCCCGGCCGCACCTCACGGGGCAGGCACCACCGCCCCGCCTGCCAGTCCCAGAACGACCGTGTGAGGTGTGGACCGTATTCAAGATGGGCTCGGGGCCGAGGGCTCCTGAGCACACGTCCTTGCCCCATGGGCACGGCCTTGCCTGAACCTCGCCTGGCACCGCCACCTGCCTGAGGAAGAGGCTACCCCCCAAGGCAAGCAAAGCGAAGAGGCGCCAAGAGCATGGAAACGTCATTAGGCTAAAGAATCAACCATCCCTGAATCCAGCTATCTAGGGAGTTTCCTCTTATTTGACATAGTCCTCGTTTTTTAAATAAGATGTAGCTGATGTTTTGGGGAGCCGATTGCGTGCAGTGATAAAATTCCTGCAGCACTGGAAGTTGTGATCAGAACCGCAAATTCGGTGCAAGGGCTCCCATAACGTAGATAGGGTTGCGTTTCTTGTGTTTTTCACTAAAAGACTTGGCCTGGATTCCCAGGATTCTTCTAACCGTATGTCAGGTTGGCTTGAATGGCCAGATGTTGGCTGCCATTCTCAGGTGGGAACCTTCTTGTAAAAAAAGAACGAAAACAACCACCACCAAACCGGTGCAGAGCTGCCAGAAGGCCCGTACCCTCCTGTTGCTCCGCTTCGTCCCCAGCACAGGGACAAGTGTCAGGAGGGAGGGACTCGGCCTTTGTTCTGGGGTCCCCAGCGTCCCACCGGGCATCCTGGGTGGCGCTGACCGCGGACGTCTACCCTAAGTGGTTCCATTTGGAACCTAAAACAAAATGTTATCATCTGCAAAATGAAAACATTTGGTGAAGACAATTCTTTGTTCCAAACACCTAAAGAGACTTCTATAAACAATCAAGAAAAATAAGAGATTTTAAACAATTGAAAACATTTTTTCCAAAAACTAAAACACATTGGAATCCTGGTTCTGAACCAAGTTCCCAAACAGCAGAACAGCTGTGATCACAAAATCACTGCAAAGAGGCAGGAAAACATCTAAACAAAGCGTCCAGTTCAATAGCCAACCCCTCGGCTCCTCTAAAAACCATTTTTCAGTCAAATCACCCTCTTCCCAACAAAGAAAGCCATCTACAAAGCAGGAAAACCCACGGCAGTAAAATACTCAGAGAAGAGAAGCCATTGCAAATGCCCCTACTATACCTTTAAATTTTATATCGTCTAAGAATGCCAGTGGTAAAAATAACATACATTTATTTAATGTGTTTATTAAATGTTAATGAGTTATTAAACATTGACTGTGACATAAACTATACTGTTCTCCAATAAGACTGCTGTTCTAGATCCTACGAAGTGAAGACCAGTGTGGTCGCACCACCTCCGGACGCTCACGGTGCAGGGGTCCGCCCCATCCTCCCGCCCCACGCGGCTCCGGCCACACGTGTCAAAGTCACTTTGGACTTTTCTCTCCAACACATAAGCCATCAGCAAGTGCCACGGGAGTGAGTCGCCTCCGGTGACGTACGAGCAGACGCCAGGCGCTTCCTGTCAACGTCCCCCGCCCCGCCCCCCCGCATGGCCCGAGGCCAGCCAGCGCTCCCCGCCGCGGAACAGGCCGCTCGCCGCCTGGGCCCGGACCCCGCGTCCCCGGCCGCCCTCCGCACAGCGGGCCCAGGCTCTCGCCCGGCCGTGCACACGCCACACGGGCTCCGGATGAAAGGCCCCCAGGGACACCCTCGGCCACTGCTTTGCATTTCCCAGGCGACAATGAAGTTGACCGTCTTTCACGTCTTTTATGGGACCTTTGGGTCTCTTCTTGTGTGAAGTGCCTGTTCAAGTGTTTTGCCCGTTTTCCCGTTTTGAAATCAATCTGTTGTTCTTAAGCTATTTTAGATGCAAACCCTTTTGATGACAAATGCATTACAAACATCTTCTCCGCATGTGTCACCTACTTTTTCATTCTCCTCACGGATCCCATCTGATGAACTGCTCTTTGTCTTACTGGTCTCAAATTTATCATTTTTCCCTTTATTGTGTTTACTTCTTACTATTTAAGAAACCTCTGCCTCCCCTACGATCATGAAGCTACTCTTCTACATCTTCTTCTAAAGGCTATTGTTTTTACCGGACATATTGACAGCTACAATGATATTAAATTGATTTTTATATATGATGCGAGTGAGGAGTCAGAATACTTTTTTCCCAAAAGGACATCATTTTTACCCAACCACTATTGTAAATGCCCCTACTATACTGCTAACGACATCTTTGTCAAAGAACAACACTACTCAGCTATCCCTGTGCCAACACAGCATTAAAGTTATTGTATAATAACCCACGGTATCTGATACTATAAATCCTCCAGTTTTAGTCTTTCGCTTCAAAGCTGCCTTGGTCATTTGTGGCCCTTTGGATTATCACATAAGTTTTAGAATCCACCCAAAACAAAACAAAAACCAACTAGCCACCTCGCCCTGCTGCGCGTTCGCGCCTCACGGCAGGCCCGGTTCGGCTCTGTGCAGACACCCCCGCCAGCTGCCTCATCTCTGAGTGGGAGAAAAGCAGCCCCGGTTGCCGCCCCCTCCTGCGCCCCCAGGCCGGACGCTCCCTCTGCTCCCTCCACTCCCCGCGCCCTCGCTCCCCCCCCACCCCCGGGGAGAAGGGAACGGGAGCCGCTCTGCTCTGCTTCTCCCAGCGCCGGCCCTTCGCTGCCCCCGCCGCTGAGACCCTGACTGCCCCCACTCTCTCTGCCCAGCCCCCGCCCCTGCTCGGTGGGCCTGCCCTGCACTCTGGGGACTGTCCCTGGCCATGCTTGCTGGTGTCCCCCGTGGGAGGCAGGCCCCAAGGGTCCCTGCGGTTGATGGGCGCCTACATGCAGAAACTGCCTTGCAGGCCCAACTCTCTGCACACACGGTGCAAAGGTCAAGGTTAAAGGAGCAGAGGATGAAGTCCACACGCTGGTCTCGGGCCCCAGCCACAGGCTCCCGTCCCACCTCCCTGGGGCCCTGCATGGCGGGTTACCACACACTTGTGAGACGCAAGGTAGGGGCCCCCCAGCGCGTAAGTGGAGTGGATGGGGCGGTGGGGCTGGGAAGGGAGTTTCCCAAAACAATCCGCAGTCCTTGTTTATAAAGCCCAACTATGTAGGGGTCCCTGCGCACCCGTATGCACATTTATTGTGAAATAATAATTTGCTGTAATGGTAGGAGAGCAACAATTCTTACAAAAATACTTGCAAACCTTGTAATCATATACTGGGTCCGGCAGAAGTAATGCCTGCTTGCATGTGGTTGTAATAATGTATAATCTGGGTGTAATAATGTACAGTTTTAATTTGAACATTTCACCTAAAATGTCATATGGTGTGCTTGCGTGTGATATTGTTATGTTACAGAATTGCATGCTTACGATTTGTAGTAAAAAATAATAATAATAATAAAAGGGGTGTTATTTGTGCCGCACCCCGTATTTTGGTAGTTAATAGTTTTGAAAAACATGTCACTTAGCCAGAGGCACAGAATCTTTTCTGCCGACAAAAATAAATACAACTACAGGAACGTGCCCACCTCTCGTTTGTAACGTGCAGCTGGGCCGTGCGGGGAATGGCCACCCGCCCCGGAGACGCCACGGGCCTCGATGTGAAAAAGGGAGTTTTCCTCGTCCGCCCCCAAGGGGTGAAGCTTTAAGAAAATAAACAGAAAGTTCCCGCGCCCCCTGAGCTGGCCACAGCAGGCGAGGCGGCCACTCCCAGGCCTCCCCGTGCGGCCAGAACGGCGGCCCCCGGGCCTCCCAGGCCTCACCTGCTGAGGAGGAGGAAGGAGCATCGCCTGTTTGAAAAGCAGAGTTTAAATCCTGTTCTGCTTTTTTCCCCCTAATATCCTTGTATTGAGAGAGATACATGTGTCGTGTTTTAAAAAGAAGGTAGAGTTTAAGGTGGGATTTTTCATTCCCACGCGGAGCTCAGGACTGATTCTGTGCAGTTAGAGCTACAACCAGGAAATAAAGGTAAAGGGAAGGTGTCATCCCGTGTCCAGGAAGATCAAGGTCTAAATCCAGCACAAGCATGTGCTTATTCTGAAATCCAGGTATCGTTATGCACGGAAAACTCCTTTTTCAGTAATGAACTCCATACACTTCCAAGTTCTAGAATCGTCTGGTGAGATATTTCAACAGCACTCTTCCTTGAATGCCAAACTTCCAAGTTACCCAGGTTCCTTGAAGCAGACACGCTGCAACACGGTGATCAGCAACTAGAATCCACACTTGTTACCTCGCCTTTTGAGGGCAGTCCCCGGAACACAGAAAGACACACCAGAACCCCGGGGAGTCCCAGCGCCTCACCTCCCACATGAGCCTGTAATCCATGTTCTCGTCCAAGTCTTCCGGCATCCGCTTCTCTCCAGCGAACGGTCCAAACTTTTCACCCTGCGCGGGGATGATTATATTGAAGACGCATCAGTAGGACAATCAAGCTACTAAAATAAACTACCATTTGTCTTCTGGAAAGATTTTTTTCTCTCTGTCTTTATGCTCCCTGATTGAGACACATTTAAAATATTAACTAATTCATGCAGCACAAAACATTTACATATTTAAAATCCATCTTAATCTGTGTTCAGCCTAAGATCCTGAGTCCAACATATGGGCGCCAAGATCAAAGGGTTAAACTGCGTAACATTCGAATCCGACGAGGCCCTGAATGGCCGCGTCCGGCACGCGGCCCTAAAATGACAAGCACTGGGTTTTGCCTGACTTGAGAGACAAGCCCACCAGGCTGAAAATCGCCTGGTTTCCATCAAAATCATAAATTCATCCCAATTGTGACGAGGAAAGAAGTAGCCTTGCCATTCTCAGAGGAAAACTTCATAAATACAGTTTAAATTCTCCTGCCAATCTCTCAAACAGCCAGGGGCACACCGGAAACCAGAGCCGTCCCAGAGCCTGCCTGCAGCCCACCTGCGAGCCGGCCTCAGCCTCAGGGGCCCGGGTGGGGCCGTGGGGGCTGCACCCTGACCAGCGCCCGGGCCAGCGGCCCCGGGGCACCAGGGGTGGCTGCCGGGCCCTGGAGGGACAGCGGGTCCGGGACGCTCTCCTCACCCAGCGAAGGAAGCGGGCGTGTCTAGGGTGCCGGCCAGACGTTCCGTGAGCGGCGCTGGGGGCGCACGCAGCACGGCCCTGCCTGGGCCGGGTCTCCAGCGGGCGCTGCCCTTCCTTCCTAAGGAGACAGAGGGCGAAAAGCCACCCAGGTCTCCGGGGAGCTTGGGAGGAGCACAGCTGGGGGAAGAACCACCAAAGCCCTGCCTGAAGGCAGATAATGACTCAACGAGCCACAGAAAACCCAGCCACTGGGGACAGTAAACTGTTAGAGCACGAAGGGGCTGCCACCAGCGAACCAGCCCCTCCTCTCGCAGACGGGGGGAGGGGCCCAGCGGCTGGGGGCGACAGGGGAGCCAGAGGGCGCTGCCCTTGATGTTAACTTGGGGGCAGGAAACACTGCAGAGACCCCTCCAGCCAGGGCCCTGATCCTAGTCACCCCGCACAGGGACGCTGCTCTTCACAGTGACATGTGGGCTCTGGCCCAGAGCTGAGGGCGCAGGTTTCAGAGGGCTCCGCGCGTCCCGGGCCACACCCTGCGGTCGGTGGGCGCCACCGCCCCAGAGACGCTTCTATGGAGGGGGTTCATTCCCACCCTAAGATGGGACCTTTCCGGTATTGAATGGCTGTGCAGAAAGGAAAAAAGAGGGAAGGAAAGTGGCATTTACTGACCTGCCCCGTGCCACATGCGAAATAATGCTTGTGAGAATGGGCCCGTCCAACAGTGAAGGCAACGGGGACTCCAAGAGCTTAAGTCACTCAGTTAAGGTCAGTCCCCTGGCAAAGGCCGGAAAAGGACGGGGAACCCTGGCCTGTTGTCAGCGGAGGGTCCCGGCACTGTCCCCAGGCCACCGGCAGACGGCCGCCCCAGCCAGGGGCCTGTCCGCAGCAGGCCCTCAGCACAGTGACTGCGGAACTGAATGGAGAACCGAGGACGAAGCCCGTCCAGAGGAGACCAAAGACTAGGTGTGCTGTGGTCACAGACGTGAGGATTTTGTGTGAAGGCGCGTCGTCCGACTCTTTGCCCCACTCAGTCAGCGTTCGGCCTGAGGAACGAGGGCGGACAGGGGTCACCCGTGTGCCCACCTGCCGACCCGACGGGTCGACCCATGACCGTCAGTGTGGCTTTGGAGGAAAAACAACGAACTGATCCATTCTACAAAAGACTGAAGAGGAAGGAAACCCAAATAAACGCCTGGAAGGACGCCGCAGGGTGTCCGCCTTGGGGCGCCCCTGGGCCACACTGAAAGAAGAAGGGTTGTCTTGGGCCACACGTTCAATACACTGCGGCACATAATCACAAAAACATCTCATCATGTTTAAGTGCATTTACCGTTTTGGGTTGGGCCGCGGTCACCGCCACCCGGGGCTGCGCGGGGTCCGTGGCCGCAGGCTGGACGCCCGATACAGCTGTGACTACTCACACTAAGAATCGGCGTCCGACTTGAGAGCCTCGCTGTTCCTAGTGAGGAACACGCTCTCCTAAGCCCGAACGATGACGGAGACGGCTTTCGATGTTTCCCCTCGGCCCACAGCGAGGATGCATTGTGCGTCTCAGCCGAGCACATTCGCATACACGCACAGAAATTCGCACACGTAAAACCAAATAGAAACTTCGTGCAACAACGCTGCCCTGGCCCTGCACAGTGCACTCCCATGTTGTCTACTCAGTTTCAATCGCTTGAGCTAAAACACTAGTTATGACCGAGTAACTTAATTTCACAACCCACCCACAGCCTGAAAAACGCTGGCACAAAAGCATGCGTAGAGGAGGGACGTTCACGAGGCTACTCAGCGCTCTGGCTTGGATGAGACGGCCTTTGGCGCGCGTGTGAGCGCCTCGGAATAATCGGATCAAATGTGCGCAAGCCTCTGTGGCTGCCGGGTGATGAACACAGGAGCGGCCAGCTCGTAGTCACCACAGTGCCGGGGGTGGGGAACACGGCGGATCCTTACAGCAACTTATTTACGTGTGGCTTCAGGTGAGGATTTTAAACTCACCAGACTCACCCTCCCCCTGAGGCTTCCCCTGAAGACCCCAGCCCATCCCCCCACACCCATTTGTTCCCTGCGGTTTCCACTGTACAAGCAGCACTTTTTTTAAATTAATTTTTGGAGAGACAGGAAGGGGGAAAAGAGAGAGAAACATCGATGTGTAAGAGAAATGTTGATCAGTTGCCTTCTGTACACGCCCCCACTGGAGATCGAACCCACAGCCCTTGGGTGTACGGGAGACGCTGCCACCAGCCGGAGCCAACCGGCCAGGGCACGGCACTTTCTTATGATTATAATTTTATTGTATGCACTGCTTTATTAACTAGTCTCTTCCTACAGAAATTCTAACCTCAGGGTAAACTTCTTCAGTCTAGTGGGCTTCAAACCAGTTTGAGTAACACAGGCATGTTGTAACACAGGGTCTGTCTGGAAAAGTCCAGCCGTTGTTACTGTAACAAGAACAGTGTGCATGACACTGATGTAACCCGGCAGCCCAGACGTATGGGCTGGAATGCGCATGCGTGAACAATGACGCCTTCACTGTGCTAGTCAGTGGGGGCCGTAGACATCACTGAGTGAGCGTGTGTACTGTGTGGCTGTCACATTCAAAATGACTTTGAGCGAGTACAGCCACAAATCTGCATCCAATTTTGCGTTAAGCGTGAACATTCCTCCGCAGAAACTATTCAGAGGATACGGAGGCCGCAGCTCTGGGCACTTGGTGAGTGGCAGCTTCACCATCACAGCACACCCGCCCACACATCACCTCTCCTGCAGTTTTTTGGCGAAACAGCAAATCCCCCAGGTGACTCAGCCCCTCTACAGCCCAGGTGGGGCGCCCTGCGACTTCTGGCTTTTCCCAAAACTAAAATCACCTTTGAAAGGGAAGAGATTTCAGACCATCCATGAGATTCAGGAAAATACAACGGGGCAGCTGGTGGCGATCGCAACAAAGGACTTTGCAGCGTGTTTTGAACAGTGAAGAAACACTGAGAACAGTGTGAGCTCCCAAGGTGCCTGCTTTGAAGGGGACTGAGGTGTCATTGTCCTGTGTACAGTGTTCTTTGTATCTTGTATCTTCTTCAAAAGAGGTTTCTATTTTTCATAGCATGTGGCTGGATACTTTCTGGACAGACCTCAACTAATATATAAAATATATGTAACATGTAATTACATAAAATAAAAATATATCTTATATAATTATTTTTTCTTTTAGTTGGACCACATGAAATTGTCAATATTTGACCATTTTCGACCTACAAAAATGAAAACTTTTCTATGATTCATTTTAGTATAAATTACATACCTATATGCCCTCGTGTATTCAACACACAGGGTGAGGTTCATAGTTAATGTTAATGACAGGAAGGAAACGCATGTCTCAAACTAGCTTCTTGAAAATGGCCACACGTCCCAGCTGCCCTGCGGCCATCGCCCGTTTCACTCCCCGTGGCTGAGCGGCTAAGCCTCGCGGCAGCCGCAGGACACACCGGGGCTCCGCCTCCCGCCGGCCGCTGCGCGCTGTCGGCAGGACCTTGCGCCGGGACTCTCCAGGAGCCCTGCGAGGCGCTTCGCTTCTAAGTACCGCAGAGGCCACCACCGCCGAGGCCCCCGGGGCTGGGCAGGGAGCAGCAGCGGACCCCGCGGGCCGGCGCCCAGGGCGGCTCGGGGAGGGCCGGGGCGCGCGGGGACGGAGGGCCCGCTCCCGCACTCTTTTCCTGGGGCGCACGTTGCCAGCCAGGGGCGAACACTTTAGAGATGCTGATGCTCAAGCATGTATGTGAAATCCCTACTTTTCTGTACTGGAAGTGCATTCCAACTCTGCAAAACCCTGTGCAGGCCTAACAAAACGGGACGGCACAGAGACACCTTCAACCCACAAACCCACAGACACCCAATGGTCCCGGCCAAACTCGCCTCTCGGACAGGCCGATGCCCAGCCCACACTGTGGCTCCTTCGCTGTTTCTGAACAAAGCTGATCATTATCCATTCAATTTGCCACCCACTGGGCTAGACAATAACTTTTTTAAAAAAAAAATATGATTGCAAACATGTGGGCCATTTTCTGTTGTTTTGCTTAGTACAAGTGTAAGAAGTTGAAAGCAAGCCTTCCGGCAGATTCGCCCCTTAGGAGGGGGCACTTCCTCCCCTAAGAGGCTTCCGTGTCTGAATCCTAAGCCTCGTCAGCCCCTGGCAAGCTGCGACGTCCGACACCGTAAAGCTCCGAGCCTCGGGGCTCTCACCTCTAAAACTTCGGGATCTGGATTGAGAGATGGGAAGAGAATGGGGCAGAGGGAATGGAAACCAGAAGGCTGCTAGGGGAGGTTTAACAGAG